CCCACCCACACACACTCACTCACTCACCCACCCACCCACTCACCCACTCACCCACCACTCACCACCCACTCACTCACTCACCCCACTCAGTCACTCACCCACTCACCCACCCACCCACCCACTACCTCACTCACCCACCCACCCACTCACCCACTCACCCACCCACTCACCCACCCACTCACTCACTCACCCACCCACTCACCCACCACCCACTCACCGCCTGTGTCTACCCCCCCAGGAGATGATGTTTCAGTTCTGCAGCTGGAGTTGTTGTGACGAGTACAAGCGCTCCGCCCTGGTGTTGGCTGTGTGCGACTTCTGCAAGAACGGGAAGCTGCTCCACGAACAGGCGGCCTACCTGGGGGAGACCCGCTCCTTCTGTACAGACCGTGAGTCACACACAACCTGGTCTGTGTGGAGTGTGTGGAGTGTGTGGTCTGTGTGGTCTGTGTGGAGTGTGTGGTCTGTGTGGTCTGTGTGGAGTGTGTGGAGTGTGTGGAGTGTGTGGAGTGTGTGGAGTGTGTGGAGTGTGTGGAGTGTGTGGTCTGTGTGGAGTGTGTGGAGTGTGTGGTCTGTGTGGAGTGTGTGGAGTGTGTGGAGTGTGTGGAGTGTGTGGAGTGTGTGGTCTGTGTGGTCTGTGTGGAGTGTGTGGTCTGTGTGGAGTGTGTGGAGTGTGTGGTCTGTGTGGTCTGTGTGGTCTGTGTGGAGTGTGTGGAGTGTGTGGAGTGTGTGGAGTGTGTGGAGTGTGTGGAGTGTGTGGTGTGTGTGGAGTGTGTGGAGTGTGTGGACTGTGTGGAGTGTGGAGCGTGCGGTGTGTGTGGAGTGTGTGGAGTGTGTGGAGTGTGTGGAGTGTGTGGAGTGTGGAGTGTGGTCTGTGTGGAGTGTGTGGAGTGTGTGGTCTGTGTGGTCTGTGTGGAGTGTGTGGAGTGTGTGGAGTGTGTGGAGTGTGTGGAGTGTGTGGAGTGTGTGGAGTGTGTGGTCTGTGTGGAGTGTGTGGAGTGTGTGGTCTGTGTGGAGTGTGTGGAGTGTGTGGAGTGTGTGGAGTGTGTGGAGTGTGTGGTCTGTGTGGAGTGTGTGGAGTGTGCGGACTTTGGTTATTCAGCTCGACCTCACCTACCCCCCCCCACCTACCCCTCCACCCCCCCCTCCCCCCCCACCTACCCCCCCACCCCCCCTACCCCACCCCCACCCCCCCCACCCCCCCCACTACCCCCCACCCCCCCCACTACCTCCCCCCCCAGTGTGCCGCATGTTCTACGAACAGGAGCTGACGAACCGCCTGGGCAAGATGGCCACGACGTGTGCGCACTGCCGCCAGCTGTGCCGCCAGCTCAGCTTCCGGGACGTGTCGCGGCAGGCGGCCGCCACGCCCAGGGACTTCTGCAGCCAGGCCTGCCAAGTGGCCTTCATGATGGTGCACTACAAGGTGGGGGGGGGGGGGGCTTCAGCTAGGCCTCAGCTAGGCCTCAGCTAGGCCTCAGCTAGGCCTCAGCTAGGCCTCAGCTAGGCTTCAGCCAGGCCTCAGCTAGGCCTCAGCTAGGCCTCAGCTAGGCCTCAGCCAGGCCTCAGCTAGGCTTCAGCTAGGCCTCAGCTAGGCTTCAGCTAGGCTTCAGCTAGGCCTCAGCTAGGCCTCAGCTAGGCCTCAGCTAGGCTTCAGCTAGGCCTCAGCTAGGCCTCAGCTAGGCCTCAGCTAGGCCTCAGCTAGGCTTCAGCTAGGCCTCAGCTAGGCTTCAGCTAGGCTTCAGCTAGGCCTCAGCTAGGCCTCAGCCAGGCCTCAGCTAGGCTTCAGCTAGGCTTCAGCTAGGCCTCAGCTAGGCCTCAGCCAGGCCTCAGCTAGGCTTCAGCTAGGCCTCAGCTAGGCCTCAGCTAGGCCTCAGCCAGGCCTCAGCTAGGCTTCAGCTAGGCTTCAGCTAGGCCTCAGCTAGGCCTCAGCTAGGCCTCAGCCAGGCCTCAGCTAGGCTTCAGCTAGGCCTCAGCTAGGCTTCAGCTAGGCTTCAGCTAGGCCTTAGCCAGACCTCAGGCCTCTGCTAGACTTTGTCTCTCTTGATCTGTCTCTCTCTGTGTCTCTGTGTGTGTAGCTGTATCCGTGCGACGCGTGTGGAAAGAAGTCCACGGCGCTCACCGTGTCTGTCTGTGTGTGTCTCTGTGTCTGTGTGTGTCTCTGTGTGTGTGTCTGTGTGTCTCTGTGTGTCCTGTGTGTGTGTGTCTCTGTGTCTCTGTGTCTCTGTGTGTGTGTCTCTGTGTGTGTCTCTGTGTGTGTCTCTGTGTGTGTGTCTGTGTGTCTCTGTGTCTTTGTGTGTGTGTGTGTGTGTCTGTGTGTCTCTCACTGCGTGTCTGTGTCTCTATCTCTCTGTGTCTCTGTGTGTGTCTCTGTGTCTCAGTGTGTGTGTGTCTCTGTGTGTGTCTCTGTGTGTCTGTGTGTCTCTGTGTGTGTCTGTGTGTCTCTGTGTGTCTGTGTCTCTGTGTGTCTGTGTGTCTCTGTGTCTCTGTGTGTGTGTCTGTGTGTCTCTGTGTGTCTCTCACTGTGTGTCTGTGTCTCTATCTCTCTGTGTCTCTGTGTGTGTCTCTGTGTCTCTGTGTGTGTGTCTCTGTGTGTGTGTCTCTGTGTGTGTGTCTCTGTGTGTGTCTCTGTGTGTCTGTGTGTCTGTGTGTCTGTGTGTCTCTGTGTATGTGTCTGTGTGTCTCTGTGTGTCTCTCACTGTGTGTCTGTGTCTCTATCTCTCTGTGTCTCTGTGTGTGCAGCTGTATCCGTGCGACGCGTGTGGGAAGAAGTCCACGCCGCTTACCGTGTCTCTGCCGTGGGCCGCTGACATGCGCCACTTCTGCGACCACGAGTGTATGGTCATCTTCTGCGCATCAACGCGCTCTAAGAAAGCTCCCCACAGACGCATCAACCCAGGAGAAAACGCCCCTTCAGAGTGGCCAGGTAGGATCTTGGTTGGACAGCGCATCCGTGCACGACAGATACGACAACGAATTGTCACTCTGTTCATCTTCTCGGTTCTTTCGGTAAAGTCGTCACGTAGAAGGGAAATAATAAAATAATACAAATTTAACATGATAAAATAGAATTCTCACGACGTTTCGGCCACAACGCAAGCAGCCGTCCTCAGGTGAAGAACAGGTCTGTCGCAAAGACAGCGTCATTCACATCATCAACATCATCAACATCATCATCAACATCATCATCATCTACATCATCAACATCATTAACATCAACATCATCATCTACATCATCAACATCATCTTTTTTTTCGATTTAAAGCTTTCGTGACTGCAGGGATTCATCTTCTTGGTTCTTTCGGTAAAGTCGTCACGTAGAAGGGAAATAATAAAATAATAAAAATAAAACATGATAAAATACAATTCTCACGACGTTTCGGCCACAACGCAAGCAGCCGTCCTCAGGTGAAGAACAGGGCTGTCGGAAAGACAGCGTCTGAATGAACACCACCAAGCTTGGCAGCGTATATACTTAAATATATACTTAAATATACGCTGCCAAGCTTGGTGGTGTTCAGAAGAACAGGTCTGTCGCAAAGACAGCGTCTGAATGAGCACCACCAAGCTTGGCAGCGTATATACTTAAATATACGCTGCCAAGCTTGGTGGTGTTCAGAAGAACAGGTCTGTCGGGAAGACAGCGTCTGAATGAGCACCACCAAGCTTGGCAGCGTATATTTAAGTATATATTTAAGTATATACGCTGCCAAGCTTGGTGGTGCTCATTCAGACGCTGTCTTTCCGACAGACCTGTTCTTCACCTGAGGATGGCTGCTTGCGTTGTGGCCGAAACGTCGTGAGAATTGTATTTAATTATGTTTTATTTATTTTATTATTTCCCTTCTACGTGACGACTTTACTGAAAGAACCAAGAAGATGTTAAGGCTGATAATACGGATGACGATGTTCATGTTGATGATGATGTTAAGGCTCATGATGATGATGTTGATGCTGATGATGTTATCGTTGATGATGTTAAGGCTGATGATGATGATGATAATGCTGATGATGATGTTGATGATTATGATGTTAATGTTGATGATGATGTTAATGATGATGATGTTAAGGCTGATGATGATGCTGATGTTGTTAATGTTGATGATGTTGTTAATGATGTTGTTAATGTTGATGTTGTTGATGTTGTTGATGTTGATGATGTTGATGATGTTGACGCTGACGTTGATGTTTGTGTCAGCGTCTGACAAGGCGATGAAGAACGTCCCGGATGTGGGGACGATGGTGCCATGTGACTTGCCTCGTGAGACTCGCACGGAGACACACGGAGACACGGGGAGACACGGAGACACGGAGACACGGGGAGACACGGAGACACGGAGAGACACACGGAGACACGGGGAGACACGGGGAGACAGGGAGACACACGGAGACACGGGGAGACACACGGAGACACGGGGAGACACACGGGGGAGACACACGGAGGAGACACAGAGACACACGGGGGAGACACAGAGACACACGGGGGAGACACAGAGACACACGGGGGAGACACAGAGACACACGGGGGAGACACGGAGACACACGGGGAGACACGGAGACACACGGAGACACACGGAGACACAGAGACACACGGGGGAGACACACGGGGGAGACACAGAGACACACGGGGAGACACAGAGACACACGGGGGAGACACACGGAGGAGACACACGGAGGAGACACAGAGACACACGGGGAGACACAGACACACGGGGGAGACACAGAGACACACGGGGGAGACACAGAGACGCACGGAGGAGACACAGAGACACACGGGGGAGACACAGAGACACACGGGGAGACACACGGGGGAGACACAGAGACACACGGAGGAGACACACGGAGGAGACACAGAGACACACGGGGGAGACACAGAGACACACGGGGGAGACACACGGAGGAGACACGGGAGAGACACAGAGACGCACGGGGGAGACACAGAGACACACGGGGGAGACACACGGGAGAGACACAGAGACACAGAGACACACGGAGGAGAC